CCTGGGGGGGGGGGCCAAAGGATTGGGGCACCTGGAACCCCCCAACCTCCCCCCTAGAACCTGCCCCGAGACCATCTGGGGGGGTCCAAAGGGTTGGTGAAGCAGGAACATGTGGGTCGGGGCACCGAGAACCCCCCAAACCCTCCCTAGAACCTGCCCAGAGACCACCTTGGGGGGGGCAAAGGGTTGGGGCACCTGGAACCCCCCAACTTTCCCCCTAGAACCTGCCCCAAGACCATCTGGGGGGGTTGGAGGAGAAGATCATGTGGGTTGGGACACCTGGAACCCCACCTAGAACCTGCCCAGAGACCACCAGTGACCCCCAACCAGGCTCTAGGTGCCCTTCATGATGGGTTCTAGGTCACCCAACCCCACCAAGACCCATTCCCCACCCCTAGAGCCCTCGGGGACAGGAAACGTGACCCCCAACCAAGCCCTTGGTGCCCCCCGTGGTGGGTTCTAGGTCACCCAACCCCACCAAGACCCATAACCCACCCATAGAGCCCTGGGGGATGGGAAACATGACCCCCAACCAGGCCCTGGGTGCCCCCCAGGGTGGGTTCTAGGTCACCCAACCCCACCAAGACCCATAACCCACCCATAGAGCCCTGGGGGATGGGAAACATGACCCCCAACCAGGCCCTGGGTGCCCCCCAGGGTGGGTTCTAGGTCACCCAACCCCACCAAGACCCATAACCCACCCATAGAGCCCTGGGGGATGGGAAACATGACCCCCAACCAGGCCCTGGGTGCCCCCCAGGGTGGGTTCTAGGTCACCCAACCCCACCAAGACCCACTCCCCACCCATAGAGCCCTGGGGGATGGGAAACATGACCCCCAACCAGGCCCTGGGTGATGGGTTCTAGGTCCCCCAACCCTCGTGGTGGGTTCTAGGTCCCCCAACCCACCCAGCCCCACTCCGTACCGGCAAAAGGGGCCCCCAGCAGCGACCCGAAGCTCTCGAACATCTGCATGAGCCCCATAGCGTGGACCACCAACGGCCCGGCCCCCACCACCTCGGCCACCCCCGAGAACTGGAGGGGGACCAAGGCCCCGGCGCAGAACCCGTAGGTCAAGGCCAAGCTCAGGAGCCCCCCAAAGGAGGTCCCCAAGGGCAGAAGAAGCAACGTCAACCCCGTCAACGTCACCCAAACGAAGAGGTGACGTAACAACGGGGTGGCCGGCCGGCCCGCTAGCCAACCGGCCACCAACCGGCCCCCCCCGTCCACCCCCGCCATGGCGGCCATCACTAGCCCCGCCTTCTCCTCGTCGCACCCCACTTCGTGAGCCCGGGCTTCCCCATGGACGAAGGGGACGTAGTAACCGGCGTCCACCAAGACGAAAGCCAAAGCGTAACGGAGGAAGGGACCGTGTCGTAGTAGCCGGACTAGCCCAATTTCACCTTTCGGTAGCCCGGGGGGTCGATCGGTGACGGGGAGGGGGCGGAGAAGAGCGCCGGCGGCCACCAAGTTGAAGGAGATGGCGGCCAAGAGCAGGAGGGCCCCCCGCCAACCGTAGGTGTCCAAGAGGAGAGGGACCAGTGGCCCCAGGGCCAATCCCGAAACGCTGGCCCCCGAAACCACTAGCCCGGTGGCCAGCGCTCGCCGGGCGGGGAAGTAGCGCCCCACGGTCCCCAAGGAGGGCGTGAAGACCAAGGCCCAGCCCAGGCCTGTGGGGACAAGACGGGTGGGGGGTTCTAGGTCACCCAGTGGGGGTGTGGGGGGTTCTAGGTC